GTGACATTACTCTTGTTCGATGTTTTTCGGACAACAAAGATTCTACGCCATTTGGCCAATCACATTCCATAATTGCAGCCGAGCCCCCGTTGATCTAGAACGGGATTGGCCGGACGACGTACAATCTTCGTCGTCTGAGAGACATCGAACGAGGGGTACATCGACTGAATATACATTGCGATTCAATATTCAGTATTTTATGACCGTGATTGCAATTTGCATTTGAGCTCAGCAGTCGAGTGTGGTGCCAAAAATACCAGAAGCGATATCCTATACGGCCTTGACCAGAAGTGTTGCATGCCCTGGATGCAGAAAAACAAGATTGAGATAAGTGGATCAAGATGTATCTTTCGTGCAGATGTATCAAGATCCTTTCACTTAAGATCCATGCAGGTGAGGTTCCAGGTTCCAGTGAAATTTGAATTCGATAGGTAGCTATTTTTTATTTTGCTTTGATACTTGTGGTAAGGAAACATGATTATGGTTGCATGAACTGCCCACTGCTCATTGCTGTCTTGTCTCACGTTCGATATCCGATCACCATTCTTAAATAGCTCACCCCATATGGAAATCAGGTTTCAGGAGGCCACTAGGCTTGTGGGGCCTGGTCTCAATGAGCTCCCAGTGCTAAGGACAGTCAGGCTCATATGTTGGGTAAGGTCGGGTTCTTAGCCCTGATCGGCGGCCGGCTAGTACTCTTGCCCGCGCTCACATACGTGCACGTTGCCCCGGCAACGGGCTATTGACCAATGAGAAGCGAGAAAAGTGTTACGTCACTGCGATTTTTCATATACCTGTGCCCCCCGGACGTGACGTAGTGTGCTCGCGTGCGTGCAGGGTCTCTGCGATCGAAAAAGAGCGCTAGCAGCGCGCCACTCGACGCCGCAATTGTCAAAAGCGACGTGTTAGTATGCTTTATTTTGAATGATGTGTGTAAAAGTGAGTTTTTATGTTGTTTATTTGGAGGAAATGGTTGGAATAAATTAAGTTATTTTTATTTCTGTTGATTGGAGTTGATTGGAGTTTTTATTCAAAAGATTTCGGTCTATACCATTTATATTTACTGAAAATACCTTCGCTTGAATAAATTGCAGATATTTGGCAACTGAAGTGTTAGGTAAGCCTAAATGATATGTAAAAAGGTAAGAGACACCCTGATTATCATTTGAGAAACGAAAATATATGAATTTTCCTTATAAGACTCGCTCAATATGCTACTCCGCGGTTTATGCCCCGAGGGTGTCCGAGGGTTCCCGTTAGTTTGTCGTTGGCGCTCGGCTCGCGCGCGAGCCGACGTCACCGCCTGTGACGTCGGCTCGCGAAATACGTCATACCCTGCACACAAAATAGCCGGCTGCCGAACAGCGCCCAGGTAGGCCAGTATGCACTCTGCAAAGCATGGCAATTTCGACAAGATCTCGTCTGTGCTGGCTTGTCCGGCTGGTGAGGCTTTGGTGTGGCGTGGATTTAGCTTGGTGCAGTGCGGATTTTGTGTAGCGCGGTGCAGATTTGGTCTGGTGTGGTCAGGTGGTGTGGTGGGGGATGTAGTGTAGTGCATTTTAAATGCGGCTGATAGGTGTGCGGTGGTCAGAACGGACTGTGCCAGTGCTGGTGCCTGGTGGTCCCACCAATCACGGGGGTCATCTCCTGTTGTGACCCAGGGGTTCTAGTCAAAACCTTACCTTTTTCTGCTAACCTAAACCTATTTCTTACAAATTAGGCAAAAATGTGATTATGGTATAATGATAATTAAACCTGGCCCTTTTTCAGGCGCAAGCTTTGGATGAACTTCTGCTTCTGCGGTCGGCATTCTTACAGGAGAACCCAAGATTCACTGTACCTACCTGTATGCATTTCAAAACTGAATAATTGATAGCAACAAGTAAATATTTGAAGTTGCAGCCAAATGCTGTGCCTTCTCTGCTGCAAGAGCTACATGTCACCATTGAAGCAAGGTAAGTATTAAAAGAAATTGTTCACCTTCTGTGAGTAAGTTGATGAATAAAATTTAAAAAGGTGTGTTAAAAATGTGATGAATAAAATTTAAATGTATTCTAACTTGGAATTACACACTTCTTCTAAAGGGATTTCATTATTTTAATGATTAGAGTGAACACTAACAGCTGAAGAACCTATCAGCTGCAAGGGATTCTGCTCCTGTAAGTGCTCTCATCGCTGATTGGCCACTGTGTGTGTTGAAGAGGTTTCTGCTTGCTGTAAATGAGCACTAGAACATGAATTTAAGCACCAATATTCACTGATAAAAGGTGAATATCTCAAACGGTTCAAATATAAGGCATACACAAATCTGCTCTATCAGACTGCTATCTCAGTTTAAAATCCCATGTTAAAGGTGAACTATTTCCTCGACAGGACCAGCTCGACTCCTGCAGTAGGAGTCCAGCCTCGTCCAGTCGTCGCCGCTCGCCAAGACCAGCCGGACTCCTGCAATAGGGGTCCAGGCTGACCCGTTCGTCCAGTAACCGCCGCTCGTCAGCACCAGCTGGGCTCCTGTAGTAGGGGTCCAGCCTCGTCCAGTCGCCGCCGCTCGCCAAGACCAGCTGGGCTCCTGTAGTATGGGGCTAGGATGGCCCGTTCATCAACCGGTCCTGAAGTCACATCGCTGTCAGCCAGCCGAACTCAGTACATAAGTCACCAACCCTGAATGTTGCCACCCAAAGTCGGCAGTTTCCTTCGGACAGTCATCTCACCAGTGTTGTACAGTGTACGAGGTTAGTGACGCAGTTAAATGCGTCAATTAAAGGCGAGGACGTGCGCTTGTATGCAGCGTTTTGTCATGTTGAGCTGCATTGGTGTCGATTTTCACCGAATTGAGGGTGCCCACTGCCCGGGCGCAGCAAATCCGCCGCTGCCTTAGCGGTGACCTTGACCCGCACCGTCTGTTGGGGCTCCAAAGCCAAGCCAGCCGAGCTGGCGGGGATTTTAAAGAGCTTGAGCACCCCCAACCCGGCGGAAATTGACACCTATGTTGAGCTGTATGGATGCGTTTTAGCCTTCCGCCGTGGTGGTAAATAGCAGCCTACATGCAGAATTAGGCAGTCTTATTAGCGGACTCATTATTGGATTCATTGTGTCACGTTTGTCGGCACGTGTAAGATGTGCTTAACTGCCATTGGCTCTCGGCCTGGCGACTTCTGGGGACCACGTAATGGGGATGACAATTGGGATCCTGTGCCTTAAGCCGGCCATTTACGTCCATGGCTATATTCCCCCGTACTAGGGCTAGTTATGACGTATATAGGGATCCACGAGATCTTTTTTGATGAATGTGTTGTGCAGTGTTGAGATCCGCGTGTAACGTCACTGTTTGGCCAGTCTGCCCTCAAACGCGTCATCTTTACTCGTATTTTATTTACTGAACGCTTTGCATGGTCCAGTGGTTTATATAGACATCTTCCTTGCACTAGCTAGTTTTATGTGGCCAGGTTGATTGCCTGTCAGCGCGGTCACGCTGTCGTCTTTCGATTGGTGCGCTTAAATGCGGCGAGATGAATATAGGATTTCCTTTGATGCTATTTAGTACCTGCGCCCTGCTCAACTGGGGAAGGGGGGAGGGGCACTGCCGGCTTTTGGTCCCATTCTTTCCATGTAACGCCCATAGAGCCCATGTTAAAATGCCAAAATCAAAGGGGGCACGGTGCCCCGGTGCCCTCCCCGTTCCGCCGCCTATGCGCGAAAGTACCAACTACCAACAGTTTCCAGTTGTTTGTGTCCCAATGTTTTTTATGAGTTGGACGATTGGGCTTTTCCCATCGCTCGTTATGCAATTATTTTGTTAAACGCTCTAAAATTGTTTCTCTACAAGTCATTAGAACTTAGAAGCAAATAGATATTGATGGATACGATCTCAAGGGGGCCGATAAGAAGGAAGAGCGCGCGGCGCAATGATTGTGGAGCACAGCACACGATAAATGTGAGGCGCATTTAAGCGAGAAATAACTTCATTGAACAGAAATGAGCAGAGTACCAGCATTGAAACTGCACCAGTACCAGCATTGAAACTAAATATAAGATATCTCAGAAGGTTGCGCTTTTGGGGGCCGAGTTGTGGTGCTTTACGCCGTACATCATGCTTAATGAATGTGACCGTCGTGTTTGTGGGATCCCCGTCGGTACTAGTCAGCCCCACGAATCGTGGTAGATCATAAAGACAATCTTCGCCTCCGGTTATCATTTTGATATATCTACGAAACGGGTACTGGGTGGTACACGAAAGCAGCTTTTTCAGGTGAGTTGAAAGGGGAAGAGGTTCTTTGAATTACCATTTCGGACCATGGTTCTAAAAAGCGCTAGTTTAAAACTATTGTTATAATTCCTATCGTAAACCATCGGACGCTCGACGCTGCATTGGCATTGGTACGATGTGCCGGTAATCGCTTCGCTCGCCGAGAATGATAGCGTGGCAGGTTTACTGATATGTAGGATTATCAAATAAATGTAATAGAAACGATATTAAATCCACTACCTCTTTAGAAGCTCTTGAAATAAACCTGGCTATCTGGTTGTCGAGGCCAGGCAAATTATATGCTTGGAATGGCTAAATGTCCATTGTCCATGACATCATTAAATTGAATTATTTTCCTTTTTAGCACTTAAAATACATTTCAGCGACACAAAACTCCCAAAAGTCTGATATCTTGCCCGTGGTATCGTGGTACGATCGACGAGTACCTTCCTACGCAATGTCCATGGCTATGCGAAGATGTGAGAAATATTTTTGGTGAGTATTTTCTATCCGACCAGTGGCTTCTATCCGAACAGTGGAAGCTGGACAGCCACGGCTGACTGTTGTTCTGTTGGCGGGCCAGCGCTGCCTCCCACCGGCCACCATACGATGACGGCCGCCGGAGACCGAGCACCGGTACCACCGGACAAAAAGTGGAATCGGCAAGGCCGGGCTAGCGACTGTCTGCAAATCGGCAGAGAAGAGCTGAGCTGCACCTACGCTGCAGGGCAACTACCGACTGCAGTGGCTTTACCTGTTTTTGTGTGACCAGCGAGGAATAAAATGGGCGCGAGACGGAGCAGCGAGACACACTCCTCACACAGTCCACACCACGTTCGACAACACCCACTCTGCAACACTCCACTCAACATGCACAAGTAAGTACCTACGTAAGAATGACTCAGACCGGACGGTCTGCCCCAGCCAGCTCTCTTGCAGGCGTGCACCGTGAGCAGCGCCACCGGGAATGTGGCGTCAGCTGATTGATGCGTGTGCTGCTTTTGAAGGCTCTCTCTATCGCCTGGATAAAAATAGGCCCCGCCCATCCCAATCAGCTGCTGCATGACGAGTTGATGACGACAACCACTACTTACCAGCAACCAATCTAGGGATAGCGTACGTGACAGTAATGGTGCAGCGGTTGCAAAATATTACATTGTTATCACTGAGCTCATTGTTATTCAAACGGTTTTTGCTTTTAGGGCCTTGTTAGATGAGGATGAGGTTAGATTAGATGAAGTGTTGATGAAGGCAGGTATTTTTTTTTTAATATTTTTTTGACAATTTTTTGCCCTTGTTTTACTTAATAGCTGAACCTGGGACCACCTGAAGTCTAAACCTTATTTTATATAACATGTCAATGCTGATGCTGTCTTGAAATGTGAAATTTAGACAATGGTAATAGGAATAATGCATATCAATTTCACCAACAACATTTTAATCTCTAGGAAGTGCAATTAAAATTAAAATCACTGTCTGCCACACTGCTCCATCCTGGTCATGGTCATGCAACCAACGTTCATGGGTGGTGTTTCACGGCAGAGCACGCAATGCAGTGCTCAGCACTGCAGTGCGCTGCGTGTGTCAGAGCATTGAGTTTCCATGGCAGTGTCAACAAACTTCACTGTGACGCTAAGCTATGACAGCATCCCAGAACGCTAGCATGCTGCGGTACCAGCACCAGCAGCATGCTAGCAGTATTTGAACTCAAACCTCTGTTCTTGGTACGGTTTTTCAGAACCTCTCACTCTGTTCCAAACGCGATTGATCATAAACTAAGAGATCACATGCAACGTCATTTGAGTGATGCTATGGTATGCCGTAGCTACCAGTGCACACAGTGTCTGGATGGTGAAACAGGGCCATTATTAATCACATTTGCTTTGCTTTGTTTCAGCAGAAACCTGTCTGCACATGGGAGGAGCGCAACAAAAGCCCATCAAGTTCATGCATGGCAGTGGATCTCAACAGGAGAAAACCAGAAAGAACATGGATGTTTGTAGATTGCAGTTGTACACTGCTGTTATCACCTGATGTGTGTGGCTGGCATTGCTCCTGGCAAGAACCACCTGCAACTGATGAGATGGTGCCTCAGTCGTTGAGTGTGCTGCAGTGTGAGAGGCGCCCTGATCTCTACTTTGTGATGGGTTTCCATTGGAGGTTCAACTGAGAAGTGAGAACTGACTGTGACCATGCTTGAGCATGCCAGTGGAGCTTTACATGCTTAGGGCAGCTTTTGAACAGATGCTGACCATGGCATGTCCCATCCAGTTATCACGTGCACAGAATGGTGGGGGGAGGGCAACTCTGGGCTCTTGAGTCAGCCCTACTGCACAGGGGGTACAGATGGCCGCTTACGTTTGGTGTGTCCTGCACTGCATTATCAAGCCCAGTCTGCGCCACAGGCAATGGGTCGGGCTGCACTATATTAAAGGCAGACTATCTTGCAAAGGAGGCTGGCATCCTCTCCCATAATGACACACCAATTGGCAATCATCGCTGCGATGATCACGAGGGTGTCTGCTTATCTAACATGGTGAGGTGGAGAGCCAGTTCAAGCTGGCCTGAGGGATGGTTTTACTTCATCTGAGGCCCCCTTTCCCCGCCTGCCAGGCCCGGTCAAACGACCGCTTCACAGTGAACGACTTGCAGTGGATGCCGTCCCACAGCGCAACGAGCGCGCCGACCAGAGGCGGCTGATTGGCCAAGAGGCGGCCGCGCTGGACGGTCCCGGTGGACGTCGGCAACGCCCACCGCGCGACCATCAGATCGGCTCGCGACAGCGCCGTCGCCGACTGACCGCATGACTGGTATCTGTTCTTGATGTGGGACCGACTGCCACCGCCGGTCGCGGAAGGGCATCGCTCATCGGCCATCGACGTCCGCCAGCTTCGCGTGGGTCACTGTTCGGGCTGCCACCAATACACCGAATCGGATGGAACCCTGTCGGCGAATGCCGGCGGTGCCCCGACATCGACTGCGCGGCGGCCAGTGCATCGCGTGCCGGGAGGAGGCTGGCACCCCCGATCGGTCATTGGTCACAAACCGTGTCCCAGCTCATGACTGCATCCAGCGCAGCTCTGTGAGATGTTCTGCAGCTGCTGCAGTCTGCCGCGTGTGTTGAAAGAAGAATGAACATGAGAAAACCTCAAAACTTTATGCCTATTCGTAATTGACCAGTATTGGAATAAGTTTGGATTTTGAGAATTTGTGTCCCTGTGCTTGTGCCTGTGTGGAAAGGCATGCTTTACGGTGTACCATCTCAATGTCAAATCCCGGCTGCGCTGTGCGGATTTGTGCGGCTGCTGACAGGCCACCTGGGTGCCAACGTATGTGCGAATCCGCGAATACGTTGTGTTTCGTCAGTCAGTATCGTTCTGAAAATATTGACTGCAATAGGCTATATAGCGTATGACGGTTCAGCCCAGCAGTAATAACTGACCATTGATTGGGCGATTTTTGGGTGGTGGTTCGCTAATACATAACCTAAAGAGTGTTTTGCCGGAATCGTTTAGTAGCAGAACTGACCGGAATATAAGTAGAATGCAACGGTTTGACTAATCGTTAATTTGTTGAAACGATTGCTCTCTGAGACCACTGTGTAACTTTTGACCTGAGAATCACCAATTATAACGACAATGGGGAAGCAGTAGGCTGTACTGTAGAGTGTAGGCAACACTATATAGTTGGCACACTTACGGAAGCACACGACTTACGCAGTGGACATCTGCATCATGCATGTTAAGGTTTACTGGGAAGAGTGAGAAATTAGTCAGAATATAACTGACTAAGGAAAATAGGCGACATTTCCTATTGAGCTGGGGCGGAGAGGGGGAGGGGGCGTGTGGTCAGCTATGCCAATAATTCATTCTCTTTATGCAGCTGTGTAAAAGGGCGTCCGTTTTTGGGTGAGACCTTCCCCATCGGCCATTTCCAAGTTAAATCGTGGTGGAGAGTCTGGAGACCTCAGCCTCGGTAGTCGGTACCCTACGCGCTGCGCCACCTTGCGAAACATAAAGCAGCAGTCCTGACATCTACAGGCGTGACTTTTCATGAAAGCGCGGATGTGTTCGCGCTTATGCGAAGAAAATTCTTCCGAGTATGGTTGATAATGAGATTAATTGTTGTCATTTATTTATTAATTCATTGGCAAAAGTACCCTAATAAATCGGTAAAATAGCTTGAACTGTATCGTATTTCCTTGGGAAAAAATGACGAACTCATCCTAAGACATCCAGATTATTGGATGCGTTCGTCAGTTGTAAGTAGTTCAAGTTTTTGGGAAAATTTGCTTGTGGAAAATCATAATATTTCAAAGATATGCCTATTTTCGAATAATTTATGCATTTATCTGCATTGAAAAATGATTGTAAAGCAAAAGTGCAAAAGATTATTGTCAACTTATTTTCTCAAATCACGATTTACGAACGCACAAAACTCCAGCTTTTAATTTAGTGCGTGTGCGAATTGCGGTCAAGAAAAAATATTTAAACTGTCTATGTTCCTCTTAAAACAATGAAGGATGAATGAGGAAAACGCTGTTTTGAACAATTGTATATTTTTTTTTCTTAATTAAGCAAAAGTACAAAATTTTCAACTATTATTACATTTGCTCTCACAAAACCCATCACTTTTTAGCATGACGTCATGTCAGCCAAATTTACTAGCGCCATCTCTGGAGAGCATCTTTCGAAACCTCCAGACGATAGAGAGAGCCCTTTTGAACAGTTGCGTACGGTACATATCGTTCACATTAAAAATTAACCAATGTTTCAAATTCTATTATTATAAATTGACACTTTATATTATTACATTGTGTCAAAATATAATCATTATAATGTGTTATTCAATGTATAATCAAGTAGCTATCAAAAGGCTTAAATTATAAATTGAGTCTTTACCAGTAAATAGAAATAGCATATTATCCGCGTAGTAAAGCATAGGCGTATTTGTGAGAAAATGGATAGAATTGAATTAGGCAGAGTCGCTTTCCTGGTTGATCTAATTTTGGCATCGCTTCTTATTTTACATCCGCAACTATATATTCCTGATGCCGAATATCCAGCGGCAGGCATAGACACAACACTTACGGCAGGGACTTTGATGCAAAACCGCTTCTGTAAATAAAATAACTCTGAAATGGTGCTGGTTGTCCACCTATTATCTCCAGTGTAAATGAAGGCCGAGAGAACGCGCTTTCTGAAAGTTTTAATTATATGACATCCCGGCGTACTGTACGTCGTCGTGAGCGACGTTTCACGGCCGCTGCTAGCACCCTCCCACCACACGCAGCGAAATCGGTTTCCACCATTAGAGTTCAGTGGTTTCCACATACATTTAAGAACTCGGACGCTCCAATATTGAATGACGTTAGCTGGTCTCTAAACCCAATGCAGTGACTTGTCTCAGACTTAACCTGACATCGACGTGACTTGTTGACCTACTGATGGAGAATGCACCAAAAAAATCTGTCTCGACCATCCATTCGGAAGTTTGATGAGGAGCCAAAAATCTGCATCCCTCCCAGCGATTCGTATATTCATCTCAATGCTTCAAGAAGTCCGGGTTAAAAATATGCGCACAAAACACACATTAACGACTTTAAAACGGAAACAAGCTTCACCACTCACACGCAAAACTGAGGCGAAACTTGAGCTGTCATTAATTGTATAAATGATAATGTGAATTTACCACGAGCACAGAGTAGTAACCAACAGCGCAGAACCAACATGCTCGGTCCGAACTCAGCTCTGCAAATATCAGTTCTCACCGCGCCAAACAGTCTCACAAACGGCAAATAACCGAGGTTACCACGATCACGAATGTGAATGATCATTGATCACCAATACCATAAAAGTCTTGCGGCACGCCGCCGCCGGCTCCCGCCACAGCCAGCACAGCGGCGCAGCACACAAA